CCAACCTTCCTTCCGAGGAGTGGCTGGCTGGTGGGTTTGAACCGCCAGCCGTCTGGTTAGCAGGCAAGTGTCTTAGCCACTATGCTACCAGAGCTCCCTCGGAAACCCAAGGAGGGGTCGCTATGAGTCGGGGCCCACTCGATGGCAAATAACAACAACAACAACAAACAATATATAAGGGGACAGAGACTCCATTATAAAAGGTAAAAATTACATATTATAATTACAATGATTATGACCTTAGTAATCATCATATGCATAATGTGCTTAATTATTAAAAGTACTGAGTGTATTAGGATTCAAAGTAAGAAGCTTTGTATTGGTTAACAAAAGTATTTATTGAGGATCTGCCATGTGCCAGGCACTACTGGAAAGAAACATTATTTTTATCCCCAAGTAGCTTATAGTTTAATAAGAACACAGATTCCTAACAGTTACACCCAGAGAATTGATACCGTGTACTGTTTTCTCTATCATTTTTGGTATGTACTTTTTCATAGAAGTGGTCCATCTTATTTAATGTAATATTAAATGTTCCCAATTAGTACTTGTTATACAGCTGGAACTTTTATCATAGTTGAATTTAAGTATGTTTAATTATTTTCTTCTTCCATTCTAAAATTCCATCATTTTGTGGTTTCAGTATATTTGCTTAATTCTGTTTCTCAGTTAGTCTTAAGTTACCAATTATTAAAATATTTAATTCAAGTTGGTCTTAAGTTACCAATTATTAAAATATATAATTCAATTTGCACTCTTAAATTTGTTTTCCTAAAACTTGAAAGTATATGTCACGGGTATGAACTTGGATTTTTTTTTCTAATTTTATATAGATGACTCCAGAGTAGTTGTACTTTTGCTTGCTTTCTTATTTTAATATTTCAGATATTTCCCATTTTTTTCTTTATTAAAGACATTTGAAAATATTTTGTAGATGCCTTGTCAGTAGTAGCGTAAATGGGCTTATTCCGTAGCATTCTCCCTCTCTTTTCACAGGTATCAATTACTTCCATATCCTTTGGTCAGTCAACTAAGCAATGTTTATTAAACATGGTACTTTTTGTGAGACTCTGTGGCTGGAGATAAAAAGTATAAGACAAGGTCCTTGCCCACCAGTCAGTTAAAATTTAAACCAAAACTATACTCACTCCCATTGAGTTGATTCAACTCATAGCGACCCCTCCTTGGGTTTCCAAGGCCGCATCTCTACAGAAGTAAATTACCCAGTCTTCCTTCCGAGGAGTGGCTGGTGAGTTTGAACTGACAGCCTTCTGGTTAGTAGTCAAACGCCTTAGTTATTTAGATGTAATATTTACAAAATAACTGTAGTCTGAGGCCAAATATCTTAAATAGCCCAAAGGTGATGCCAATAATAAAGACCACAAAAGCAGAAGAGGAAAAGAATGTCTGTGACATTTCTAGCATTTAAAAATCCCTTCCTGACACTGGAAAGAGGTAACTTATGTGATGTGCCGTCGAGTCGGATCCGACTCATAGTGACCCCTCCTTGGGTTTCCGAGGCAGTATCACTACGGAAGTAGATTGCCCCATCTTCCTTCCGAGGAGTGGCCGGTGGGTTTGAACCGCCAGCCTTCTGGTTAGCAGTCAAGTGCCTTAGGCACTACGCTACCAGAGCTCCCGGAAAGAGGTAACTATGGGGAGAAATTGGGAAGAGAGCGGTTGCATTGTGGGAAATTGCAGTCAATGTCATGAGACAAAGTGTATGTGAACTGCTGTGAGGAAAATGAATTTACTGTGTAAACTTTCATCCAAATCACAATAAATTTAAAAAAACAAAATCCCCTTCCTACCATTAGTCCAAAGCACTAATGGACTACGTGAACCCCAGCTTCCATGACCTAGATGGTGCCTGGCTACCATTTTCAGCTACTCTGAAAGGGATCACAATAGGAGTTCTTGGATAGAGTGGGAGAAAAATGTGGAACAAAACTCAAAATCATAAAAAAGACCAGGCTTACTGGTCTGATAAGGACCAGTGGAACACCTGAGACTATGTCCCTTAGACACTTTTCAAGCGTGGAACTGAACTCACCCCTCATGGTGCAACTTTCAGCCAAAAGATAGGCCTAGAAGGTGAATAGTATACTAGGGACATACACACTCAGAACAATCAATCCTGTGAGATCCAAGCAACAGCATTTGCCCAGGGATAAATCTAAGAAGGCAGGAAGGAAGGAAAGAAGGACCAAGGGAAATGGTAACCACAGGGAGAAAGTGGGAAGAATGCTGTTACATTGTGAGGGATTGCAATGAATATCACAAAACAAAATGTGTATGGATTGTTGAATGGAAAACTAATTTGCTCTGTAAACTTTAACCCAAATCACAATTTTAAAAAATATAATAATAATAATAATAAATCTCCTCCCTTGACTAGTTTGTGTGTAACAAGATAGCATTCTATGGGATCTTAGACCTCTTGGAGAAGTCTTGTCGAGACTACTAGATCAGAGAGTAGAGCAGAGGTTCTAAGCTTCACAGCATTTGCATACAGTTTACCCAGCTCCCTAAACAACTATTAAGATCTTTATACTTCCTTATGACTAAGAAAAAAAATGTTACTTATCAGTCACGGTTGTCTTGAAATCTAGTTTTGTGAAGGCCTCAGAGAACCCTAGCCCTAAGGATAGGTGTGTGCTCAGTGACATTGCAGATGCCTACAACTTCTTTGTTTCAGGCAGTTTGGAGCATGTGAACGTACTCTGAGCCTTGATGAGTTCCAGTATGTGGTATATTATGCAGAGCATTCAGAGCAAATACTCTCTGTCAGAGCGCTTAATCCGAACAATCGCTGCCATCCGCTCCTTCCCACATGATAACGTAGAGGACCTCATCAGAGGGGTGAGTGTGCCGTTACTGACACTAGAATCTTTAGGAGGTAAAGTGGGAAAATTCCTGGGAGATTCTAATCAATTACAGATTTGCAGCTTTGATTCAACACAAGATCCCAAGGAGTTATTACAGTGTTCTTAAATGTATTAACTTGTTCACTGAAATTTATTTCCCTGTGTTTTGCTTCTCTTCCCTTCTTCTCACTTTGTGCTTCTGATATTTTTCTTCATGAAATGTGGTAGATGACCCTAGTCTCGTTTTCTTTGCAAAAATCCATCTCCATATGATGTATATGGAATTCAGTGAGCTCAAGGTCTTCTGTACATATGTTGCACTAAAGGTGGAAGAAAGTGAGCAAAGCAGAGGTGGTTTTCAATTTCCTTGAGAGCCTTTCTTCGTATCTGAGTTCTAATTACATGGCGAGATTTCATTTGTTTTCTATCTTAATAAAAGCTACCACTTCCTGTAGAGGGTATCAGCCTATAGAAGAAAAATGCATGGTAATTTGTGCCTTAGAAGATACTTAACTATCTGATATCTAACCATGGCTATTTAGTAATTGTTGTATTACTAATATAATATCCGACTCATAGCAACCCCTCCCTGGGTTTCTGAGGCGGTATCATTACGGAAGTAGATTGCCCAGTCTTCCTTCCAGGGAGTGGCTGGTGGGTTTGAACTGCCAGGTTTCTGGTTAGCAGTCAAATGCCTAAGGCACTATGCCACCAAAGCTCCTAATATAATATAGCATATTATATTATCCTAGGTGTTGGATCCCCTATCCTATGTGGTGGTATCCTAGGTGTTTACATCCCCTATTCTGTATATTATGTCTGTTGAAGAAAAGTTACAAGGTAATTTTTGATCACCAAGAAATGCACCCAGATGGTTACTTCTGTACATTCTTTTAAGATCCTTATTTATAGCCTGGAGCTCTGTAGCTACTTCAGTTATGTGGCACAACTGTGAGAAGGAAAAGTCATACAGTGTTATTAGCTCATTCTCACAAAAGTGGTATCAGAAGACTCAGCAGTAGAAACTTTGTCATGTTCTAATTCTGGCTTGGCCGCTGAGACCTTCAGTGACTTTGATCTGCCTGTAGTATCTCCATCCTATTTATCAGATTTGGAGTAGAAGCACCAGCAGAGGCTAGGTGGTAGACAATGCTAATACTAAGAGGCTTCTTTGAAGATGTTGGTACATAATTAATAAAATGGTAACATTAAGACGACCCTACTATTAGTGATGGTCATCTGTTGAATGGCAAAAAGAGCAAGCCCTTTCGGTTCTCCTGGCCTCAAGACTGACAGACTCACTTTCCTGACTTTTCCAAAGCATAGTGGTCAGAGAAAGTGGATTGCTGCCCCAGCTTTCCTGCCTGATGATGATGTTCCCACTGCTGTCACATATATGGCTAAGTCTTCAATGATGTCCAGATGACCATATGGCAGGCTTCCTTATGGAGAAACTAGTAACACAATCCAAGAAATTGAAAGTTCCTCTCACTTGTCTCCAGTGTATTGTCTATGTTTGAACATTGGCATTATGACCCTATTATTTAATTTATAGAAATGGAATGTGTGTGTTTATAGTATGGTCATCCCTGGGCTCAGTTCTGAATCTCATCCTGCTCAGTGAATCAGAGCTCAGTACACTAACTGCTCTCCTTCCACCCACAGGGTGCAGATGTGAACTGTACCCATGGCACACTGAAGCCCTTGCACTGTGCCTGCATGGTGTCAGATGCTGACTGTGTGGAGTTGCTGCTGGAAAAAGGAGCTGAGGTAATGTTTTTAACATCTTCACATTAATGATTCACTAAAACTTGAGCTTCACCTTTTCTTAAGAGTCTCTGTTTCTCCCCTCATTTCTTCCCACCTCCAGTTTCACCTTATAGCTCATGGCAAAATGCAACGGTGGATGGTCCTCAGGATTTCATTCCTTTGTCTTTCTTTGTTCTCTATAAGCACCCATGACTACAGGAAGTTTATTCCCTTTCCCCTTCTAGCTCACTGTCTGGTAGTTGTTGACATTTCCATTTAGTCCTCTCATGGCCTATTTATTGACTGTCCAGGAGCTGTAAGTGTAGAGGCCCTTCAACTCCAATTAAATCTAAATCATTTGAGACCAGCTATCAGATGTACAGGAGTCCCTGGGTGGTGCAAATGGTTTTCACACTCAGCTGCTAACCAAAAGTTTGGTGGTTCAAGTCTACCCAGGGGTGCTTTGGAAGAAAGACCTGGTAATCCATATCCAAAATATCAGCCATTGAAAACCCTACGGAGCACAGTCTACCTTGACACACATGGGGACACCATGAATTGGACTCTACATGAGGGCAACTGGTGGGAGGTCCTTGGTGCAACTGGTTAAACACTCAACTACTAACCGAAAGGTTGGTGGTTTGAACACACTCAGATGCCTTGGAAGAAAGGCCTGGCAATCTGCTTCTGAAAGGTGACACCCTTGAAAATCCTATGGAGGGCAGTTGTGCACTACACATGCAGGGTCTCTGTGAATTGGAATCAGCTTTATGGCAACTGTTTTTCTGTTTAAAAAAATTGTTTTATCAAATGTGGATTCTCAGCTGCTGTCCCACTGTCACTGGGAGAAAAATATTATTAGGCAATCCTTTCCTCATGATTAGGGCACTTAATGCTATTTCTGCCCACTGATTATTTTCTGTTTTAGTATATCTTGTTCCTGTCTTCTTTCTAATATATTTCAAGATAAAAATACATGGATTAATTTTTGAAAGCAGATCCTTGGTATTATCAAGAAGTAACATCGTATAATGAATGGTTAAAATAATAGACTGTGGAGCCACACTTCATGGTTTTGAATTCCAACTCTGTTACTTTCAGTTAAGTGACCTTGAATGAGTTACTTAAAAAAAAAAAAAAAAAAATTCTTTGCCTCAGTTTCACCATCTGTAAAATGGGGATAATAATGGTACTTTTTCCATAAAGTTGTGAAGTGTTTGGAACACTGACATGTAGGAATTGCTAAGTAAGTATTTATTAAGTAAAATAGCAGTTTTGACTCTGAGTAATCTTGAAGGCTCATTTACTGAGGCACTAATTTGAATCATACATTTTGTGAAGCTGGTGTATAGGCCCCAAACATTCTGGTAAGCCTAAGAGACCAGCCACCTGGCTTCCTCATCTCCAAACAGCCATGTTGTTCTGTTTGTTATATATCTTTTGTGATTAAAAACCTTTTCTTTGTTACACTGAAATGACAGCCAGTGATTAATGTCAGTGATAAAAGTGAACATATCCAGGAAAACAACAGTTTATAGCCAAACAGAAGGTTAAACTCAAATGTTTTAGTTTTCCGTCATTGCATTTTATGGGGGAACATAATACACTGTTTATAAATTTGGGGATTTGAAGTCTTTGGCTGTAACCTTCAAAAACAGTGACAGAATTCTTGCCTTCCATGTGGGAGACCCAGGTTCCTTCCATTCCTAGCCAGTGGCACCTCATGTTCAGCTACCACCCCCCCCAATATGTCACTGGAGTCTTGTGTGTTGCCATGATGTTGAACAGGTTTCAGGGGCGCTTCCAGACTCAGACAGACTAGGAAGAAAGGCCTGGTGGTCTGTTTCCAGAAAGTCTGCCAGTGAAAACCCTGTGGGTCATAGCAGTCCAATCCCTGCCAACCACGGGGATGGCATGGGCAGTGTTTCATTCTGTTGTGCATTGGGTCACCATGAGTTAAGGGCCAACTGCATGGCAGCTACTAACAGAAATTGCAGGTGATGCCAACTCTCAGCAAGCCAACTCCTTTCCCAGCATTGGGAGATTGTTGCTGTTCCTCCACCGGCTTTCTTCCAGGCTCTCTTGTGAATCCACAGCATATTCTTGCAAGGGGCTGACCTAGCTTAACAATGGGAGCTTCTCTGCTGTGGTTAGAGAACACAACAAAGCTACATAGGCAGCTTTGGCCTCTTTACTTTTGAGCTTGTTTGCCATTAGCCACAGGATAATCAGGATAAGTAAAACAAACCAAAACCTTTCCTCTGGCTAGTATATTCAAGCTGCTCTCCAGTAAATACTTTAAAGCAGTCACAAGGTCTAGGCTTCATCTTCTCATTCTCTATCCCTTGATCTATGGTAGAAATTCTAATGAATAATAAACAAGAGAAATGAGGTAGCAGCAAAATCCTAAATAATGCAAGCCTGCCAATCAGTGCAGGTAATAGAGTGTTGATTGTTTGGGGACAGTTCTTTTCCTATTTATTCCTAAGCTCCTGTCTCCATCTTGATCACCAAGACTCCCAGGGACCCTTCTGTTCAGAATATTAAATAAGAAAGGTAGTGGGTGAGCACATGCCAGCTGCTTTGCTGCCGTGTCTTCTTCCCTGTGTCTGTCTGCTGTAATAGTTCTCCCTCTTTGCAGGTGAATGCCCTGGATGGTTACAACCGAACAGCCCTCCACTATGCAGCTGAGAAAGATGAGGCTTGTGTGGAGGTCCTGCTGGAGTACGGTGCAAACCCCAATGCGCTAGATGGCAACAGAGACACCCCACTTCACTGGGCAGCCTTCAAGAACAATGCTGAGTGTGTGCGTGCTCTCCTAGAGAGTGGGGCCTCCGTCAATGCCCTGGATTACAACAATGATACACCTCTCAGCTGGGCTGCCATGAAGGGAAACCTTGAGAGCGTCAGCATCCTTCTTGATTATGGTGCTGAGGTCAGGGTCATCAACCTAAAAGGCCAAACACCCATCTCCCGTCTGGTGGCTCTGCTAGTCAGGGGACTTGGAACAGAGAAAGAAGACTCTTGCTTTGAGCTTCTCCACAGAGCTGTTGGACACTTTGAGTTAAGGAAAAATGGCACCATGCCACGAGAGGTGGCCAGAGACCAGCAGCTGTGTGAAAAACTGACTATTCTGTGCTCGGCCCCCGGAACTCTAAAAACACTCTCTCGCTATGCTGTGCGCCGTAGCCTGGGACTCCAGTACCTGCCAGATGCCGTGAAGGGCCTTCCACTGCCAGCTTCTTTGAAGGAATACCTGTTACTTGTAGAGTAACATGGAGGAGACACTTGTACCCTCATATGAGCAACTCTGGTGCTCCCGTGCAGTACTATCTTTGGCATGGAAAACAGGAAAAGCAGTTGTTTCTGCTGTGTGTGGTTTATAGATTTTGAGGCAACATGTCACAATAATAACCTCCAAACCACTTCCCCTCTCCAAACCAACCAACCAACCAAACAAAACAACAACAAAAAATCCCTCACTTTTGTTTTCTGTTTATTGCTTCCTTAGCTTCTGATATAGCACCCTGCAAAAGAGAGGCTCCCCTAATCTTCCCTTTAGGGAGTCAACAGTGTAACTGAATTTCTGTAGGAAGATGAAAAGTATTTAAGGAATGTGTGTTTGATTTTCCTTGGGGACATGAGTAGCCCGCCAAGACTCCCTCTAGAATCATCTTAATTGGTTTGTGAAGATAATTAAGAAAATCACAATTCCAACCAACAATTGTGATTCAAAGATGAAGATACTGGAGTCTCAAGTGGTGTGCACATTCCGAATTGGGTTGGATGACATCCCCAGAGAGCCAGAGCATGGGGGAATTCAGAAGAGTCTAGCCTGTTCCCTCTGTCAGACAGCAGTCTATTTGCTTCTCTTTCATGGATATGCCCAGGGGTTACAGTAATGTTATTTTAGGACTGTCTTGGCTGCTTTCCACACATTCAAAGAGATAGCAGATTCTAAGCAGTCCTAAGAACTCCTGTTTTCTTCCACTGCAGCTCTTTTTTCTTCCTCCAAGCTAGTTTGTTCTAGTGGGCTTAGCAGGCATTTTGTGTACCTTAGAATAAGATGTTTGCTCTAGCAGGAGAGGAATATAGGCTAGGAAGCCTCTTACCAAGGGCCTTTTTCTTTCCCTATAGAAAGCTCACTCTGCTAAGGGGTTGGAATTATGTTTGTTTCAGTTGTTTTGGAAACTTTGCTTTTTATTGATCTATATGAGTCGGGTCTGACTCGATAGTACATAACAACAACACAACATACACCACTTGGGAGCAGATTAGGGAAGGAGTGGGGGGAGTTATATGAGTTATTTTGAAATGACCCATTTACCCCAAAAAGATCTGTTTTAGTCAATGTTAGTCTAATACTCTTCCATGCCTCTAAACTAGATCAAGTTGTTACTGGTCTTAGATGACCTGTTTATGAATTTGAAGAACCTTTCTTTTAAAAAAAGCTCAGTGGGAAGTACAAACAAAATGAATGGAATCTGTTGACACGCTAATTTCAAAAAGTGTATCTGGTTTTGTCCTTTTGGTGTTCGTGGTTTTTGCCCACTTAAAAAAGAAATAAATAGTATTCCAACTAAGTGTGGCAACTTCTACTGTTCCTACTTTTCTCCATGTCTTCCAAGGACTTCCCCCTAAATATTTCTTCCATTCCTGCCTGGGTCATCAGTGTTATCTTGCTATCCCAACCTCACCCATTAGCAAGTGACGTGGGGCACTGGTGGAAAGCTTGGGTAGAGGAATCTGAAGCAGCTTTGCTTTCCTTTCTTGCCCTCCTCAATTTGGAATCACTGCTTTTCATGGCTTTCAGCTCCAGCTGCATGTGAAATCGCCATGGGAACTTTTCAAAAACAGTGATGCCAAGGCTTCCTCCCATACTGTCTCAGAATCTCTTGGGGTTGGCTTGGAGGCATGGGCAGGTTTTTTAAGTCTTCCAGATGTTTCTACTGTGTGGTGCAGTGTTTAAGGCATTTAGCTGCTAAAGCTTGGTGGTTCAAAAACCCCAGCCGCTCCGTGGGAGAAAGATGAGGTAGTCGCTTCCGTAAAGATTGACAGCCTTGGAAACCCTATGGGGGCAGTCCACTCTGTCCTATAGGGTTGCTGAGTTGGAAGCGACTCCACAGCAGTGGGTTTTTGGGGGGTTAGTGTAGCCAATTGCATTAGTCAGTGGTTCTAAAGGTTAGCTATTAAGACCCACCTAACAAAAATCAAACCCACTGCCATCGAGTCAATTATGACTCACCGCAAACCCCACTGAGTTTCAAAGTGGTAAATCTTTACAGAAGTAGATTGCCTGGCCTTCCACGCAGTGGCTGGGAGGTTTGAACCACCAACCTTCTGGTTAGCAGTCAAGTGCCTTAGGCACTGCACCACCTAGAGCTCCTTTAGACCCACCCAGAGCTCATTTAAAATACTAAGGCCAGGGTCCCACCTCTAGGGATGGATTTAAGTGGTCTGAAGTGGGCCTGAGTATTAGGATTTTTTTTTTTTTTTTCCAATTTACTGTTTTGGGTGAAAGTTTACAGATGAGTTTTCCATTCAGCAGTTTATACACATTTTGCTCGTAACTTTTGTTGCCGTTCCCTCAATGTAACAGCACTCTTCCCACTTCCTCCCTTGGTTCCCCCTGTCCACTCATCTTTTCCTAACATCTGAGCTTTGTTTTGGGGCATATGCTGCCCTTTTTGTCTTGGATTAATGTTCTGAGGTTCCAGCTTGAGGATTTTTAAAGGAACCCTAGGTGATTCTAATATTCAGGCTAGGTTTGTGAACCACTAAGGTGCTAAGGAGATCTGGTGGTGCAATGGTTAAAGCATTTGGCTGTTAACCAAAAGGTTGGTCGTTTGAACCCACCAGCTCCTCCATGGAAGACAGATGAGGCAGTCTGCTTCCATAAGATTTTTTTACAGTCTTGGAAATCCTGTGAGGGTAGCTATGAGTGAGTCAGAATTGACTGGATGGCAGTGAGGTTGGGTTTTGTTTAGGTGCTATTTCATTTCTAATCATAGACATTATTAATATACTAGAGAGGGAAAATACTTTGTCTAGGTAGGAAAAGATAGTCCTCTTTGCTCATCAACTCAGGCAGCTAGTGGCTGATAAATTCTGCTTCAACACCACTTAAGAGTTTAAACAACTTTTCACTGATCTTTTTCACTCTGGGGAAATAGCATTGTAGTGATGTCTTCACTGTTTTTTTTCAAGATCATATTATGATCATAAATTTCTTCACTCTTTACAAAGTGGTATTTTTTTCCTTTGTGTTTAGCTTTCTACCCAGCCATCCTTCCCTCACCATCGTTTTCTTAAACATACAGCTCTAGGTTTAAAGACAGGAATGAGAACATATAAATTAATAGCAGCATGCCAGTGTTACAGATCTAGATGACTGCCTGCAATTTCCCTTTCACTTCGTTTGCACAACCTGAGGTTTTGGATGTGATACAGCTCAGTAAGGAGCAGAGGCACAGGAAGTGAAGTCAGAAATGAGTATGAGTTCCAGTTTTTTGTTAAAGACTGTAAGACCCAGGACATAATTAACCACCTGACGCCCCAGTCTTCTCACCTCTGAAATCGGGTTGTCACCCTGCTCCTCATAAGGCTGTTTTGAGAATTCAGTGGTAACATATAAAATGCCTAACATGGTGCTTGACATTTTAATTTCTCTTCCCTTAGAAGCATTGTACAAAGAGCATTTGGCTGCTTTAATTACTCTGACAACAAGCCACCTCAGTCACTGTTCAGAACACTTTTTAGGATAGGGCAGTACCACTTTAGGCAGCTAGTGAAAGTGGTGGACTGGGATAATCCCTTCCTCTGGCCCCTGTGAGGAGCCCTTCTGGCAGTGGTTAAGCACTCAGTGGCCAACTGAAAGATCGGCAGTTAAACCCACCAGTGCTCCACGGGAGGCCGTTTGCTTCCTAAAGATTACAGCCTTGGAAACCCTATCAGGAACATCCTCTGGGTGTTGCTACTTTCCAGGCTTTCGTGTGTATCTCTCCTTACAAATGGAGTCTGGCTTTCATCCAGGAATACAGGGGAAAAGTTAAGAAGGAAGCACCCTGGGTTGGTAGAGGAGGGGCAGAGATCTTGGGAGGCTAGAAAAAACTAACCTTGGGTAATGAATATATGATCACAAGGTGAAACACAACTTGATGCTTAAGGGAGACTGGAGAGTCCTCTTGGCTGCAGGTAACTCAGGAGGAACTAGTACAGTATAAGGATGGGGACCAGCATATATAGACAACTGAGAGGTAGAGAGAAGCAACATGGTGATTGATGATGGACTGCATTCTCCCTTGTCTATCTGGGCACAGTCTAGGGCAAGGGGCTGATGGTATCACGTCCACTTGGGAAGATGATAAGAGAACCAAAATCACAGTGACCAGTTGGCATTTATTAGTGTAGTTATAGCTTGTCACTGTAGTAAAAGTAGTAGAGGAACCAAGACTCTGTTATCACAAATAAACAAATAAATAAAGCTTATTTTTAGGAAAATTCTAACCAAGTATCCGAAATCTAGCAGTGACACTAGAGTTCAGCCGTACCTGCCAGTTGAAGCTAGGGTAGAAGTCATGAGAAATTCTACCTAAGAGGAGTTTCCACACACTGTCTCCTGTCCCTGCTCCCTGGCCAGAGATGATCATGGCTGCAGTTACAGAATGAAAGGAAACCTAATGCAAATGAGCTAAAACACTGAGAATAAGTGGTCTTGTATCTACCGAGGGGTGAGCTGACCATGATCATATAATCCATTCCCTTCACTCCAGAGTTTTAGATGGGAGTATCCCCAGACCGCTTTCGGGTGATGTGCTCCAGGTGGGCGTGCTCTGAGGTGTCCAAGTCAATCTCGTACTTGGCTAAGATCTTCAGGATGGGCCTCAGCTTCAGCCACCACTGTTCCTTGGGGATGCGATGCCTACAGAGGAATGAGAGCAGGATGATGATAACATCTGTAACATCCTCTCCCCCCACAAGCAACTTCTACCAATGGCTAGGCAGAAGAGACTCATTTTAGAGTAAGGACATAGGAACCAAAATGGGTAAGACTGCAGGTGTTACTCTTAAGAAGAAAAGACTGAAGACAGTGAAGAGGTTGGGGAGAATGGACCTTCGACTATCAGGGAGGAAATCACTCCAGGAAGCAGATGCACTCACTCAAAATCTGTCTGTTCTTTCAGCTCAGTCACTGGTTGAAAGACCAGGGCCCTCTTACGCATTCCCAGAACACAGCCTGAGTCTGGAGTGTTAGCAAAGATCCGCCCTGCAAGAGGTGCATGGCCCATCAGCTTCTGTACTGGGGAAGCAGCTTCTATGGAGGCTCCCCCTGTCACCCCACATACCATTACGATAACTCTCTTTGATTTTTCCGGACATCCAGTTCATAGCCTTGGCTCCCATCTTAGTGGCAAAATTCCTGTCAAATGGAGTTGGGCTCCCACCCTGGAAAAGGAATCATAAAAGTTACAGAGGGAAGAACTCTGATGAAGTGGCAGCAGAGATGCGGAGAGAAAAAGGAATGAGTGAGCCTGTATAGAGAGCCAGAGAGGAATCCAAAAGTCTAAGTATGAAAGGGTCACTGACACAGTGTTCGAGCTAAGGTAAGTGGGCCCAGCATATCTGGCCATTTATCTGGAAGTAAGAATAACATTATTTAAGGTAAAAGGG